TATATATATAGGATTTTAAAGCAGTTGACACCCTGAACACTAAAAGCATTTAGGGGGCACTGATTGAGCAGAATAAAGTGCCCCCGTCGCGTAAAAATTTTGAATCTGCCTCTGTATACAGCGTCATTTTCTTATATGATTTGGATTATGAATAATGATATTGATATGGTGAATTAATTTGCAACAGTCAGGAAAAGTTTATCTACATAGGAAAAATTCTTCGAATTATTCCTCATCAAATGAGCAACAAAATTATCAAACAGTTGGAAAATTTCAAGATCTCAACTTTCCTCGGAGTCTATTTGAGGATACTAAGTTAGACCTAAAACTACTATCGTCGTCATCATCATCGCCATCATCATCATCATCGGGCTATAATCATAGCGTGTGCACCCTTGAAAAAGTAAAATTTGCTTTAGAAAGGGCAGAGAAGGAATCATTAAAGAGGAAGCGCTCCGTATCAGAATCAGTACTACTTATGTCCATCACATCATCTCCTACTTCAAATTCCTCAATATCATCAATCAAGGATACAGATAATATTACTGATCATGACATGACTTCGTTCGCGAATTCATCATTTGCTGCTGGTTGTCCAAGTTGTCTCCTTTATGTGCTGATATCAAGGACTAATCCTAGATGTCCGCGATGCAATATAATTGTTCCATCACCTGTACTTAGCATGAAAAAACCTCGTATTGACCTTAACATATCCATGTAAACGTGAAGTCATGGGAAGAACAACCACTGAGTTACGATGATTTTTGTAAAGATATATATAGAGAGAGATACATAGTCTTGTAAGTTACAGAACATGATATATTTATATACACATAAGATATAGCAAAGAGATTATGTCAGCCCTTACTTTAATTTTGTTGGTACGTATAGATGTATGCTTGATCATTATTCGGTTGGTTGGCACAAATGTAACTCTATTTTTGGCCTCTCCTGTTATGGGTGAACTATTCCTTTTTAGTACTGTTGACAGCTTCCTTGAGCCCGAGGGTATCTGCCGGAAACAACCTCTTTATCTTCATAAGGTAGAGATAAGATTTGCGTACACACTATTCACATCAGACCCAACTTGTAGGATTTCGCTAGGTTTTTTGTTGTTGTTGTTGTTGTTGTTGTTGTTGTTGTTGTTGTTGTCGTCCTCGTTGTCGTCTCCTGTTATGGGTGAACTATTCCTTTTTAGTACTGTTGACAGCTTCCTTGAGCCGAGGGTATCTACCGGAAACAACCTCTTTATCTTCATATGGTAGAGATAAGATTTGCGTACACACTATTCACACCAGACCCCACTTGTGGGATTTCGCTAGGTTTGTTGTTGTTGTTGTTGTTGTTGTTGTTGTTGTTGTTGTTGTTGTTATAATTGTAACGGTGACAATTGACAAACTAACAATGTAATTTAGGCATTATAAGTACCAAGCAGTGCATTAAATTCTCGCTATATATGCGCAGGGTCTAAGAAAGTAAGAGCCGAATCATGTTGGTCTATTATAACAGTGTGAGTTGCATTTTTATAAGAGGTTGTTGTTTGATCTCATGATCTCCTGATATCACACAGCTACAACTCTCACTTTTACCCCAAAGCTCTTCGTCTACAACTGTATGTAGTAGTGGCAAAATGGTTAAAAGAAAACAGTTATCCACCCATATTATCTATTAAAATATGGTTGGATAATGAACTTTTAAAAACGGGTTAAATATGGATAAGAACCATATTATCTACCTAGAAAATTGATAACCAATGGATAACTAATGAATTTAACTTTTATATTTATAATGCCTCAAATTGGGGGTTTCTCAAGGAATTCTCCCAAAAGAAATCATATTCAAGAAGCCACGGATAATATAGATATACATATTATCTGTCGGTTAACCCATTTTTTATACGTATTAAATATGGTACGGATAAGATAATTTATTCATTTTTCCATTATCCGACTTCGACCCGCCCATATTCGACCCAACCCATCCGTTTGCCATCCCTAAATCTTTGAAATCTATAAGGTTCAAGCTGTCATTTGCAAAAGTAGACATAAAATCATGAAACAGGGCATTAAGAGCTAGTGAATGTGATGTTGGTATTAAATGTGTGAGCTACTTCATGCAGAACATAAATTTAATGTATAGTTAGCTGAAAATTGGCGTTTACCTAAGCTTTGATGAGGATATTAAATGCTGAAAGGGTCATATATAATGTGCTGATAATAGTAGTTTTTATGCTTTAATGGTTAGTAATACTTCAAGTGGCGTGCATAGCATGAATATGGCCACTCACAAGTATGGGCGAAGCTACATGTTATAAAGGGTGGTTAACTGACCACCCTTCGTCGGAAAATTACATTGCGTATATAGGTAAAATATTAAATTTTAGAGGTATATAACATATGTTGAACACTCTTTCTCGGAGAATTTTTTTCACTTCTTTTAAATTTGAACACCCTTGAATAAATTCCAGGCTTCGCCACTGCTCACAACTTACCCTTGCTTAGTACTTGGAACCTATCACGTTCTTAGCATAGTTATTTGGTACCTACCTGTGCTCAACACAATTACTTGGAACCTATGCAATCAGCACGACTACTTGAAACCTATCCGTACAGACGTGCTTTGCATGGTACTTAGAACCCACCTATGGTCGGCATGACCACTTGGAACCTAGTCGGACGGCCACCATGAACCTAGTTGTGCTCAGCACGACATTTGGAACTTAGCCGTGTTCAGCACAGCCACTTCGAACCTTGCTATGCGATCGCCAGCTGGAACCTACCTGTGCTCAGTACGATATTCGGAACCTACTTGTGCTCAGCACGACCACTTTCAACCTATCCTTGCTCAGCACTTGAAACCTACCCCGTGCTTAGCACAACTACATGGAATCTACCTGTGCTTAGCATGGCCATTTGAAACCTACTCGTGCTCTACACGATCATTTGGAACCTACCCGTGCTCTGCATTGCCCTTAGACTAGTACAACTAGTATATATAATTAATCACCCCTCTTACAATTGTTGAATACCAACCAAAATGTAATAAACGAATCCTATTTTATATTTCTTTCATCTTCCAATGCCGCCACCTACTTTCTTAGAAGAGCTCAAATTTTTATAATAATAATAATAATAATATGGTAATTAGTGCTTATCATCTGGTCTTGAAGGAAGTAAAGGCGTCTACTATCCTCTTCAATAAACTAGGAACAGAGACATAAATTTTTGTTGACCAATAAATACAATAAAAGGATGAAGAATATTAAAAGAGCAGTGGAGTAAATATGAAACAATGAGAATAAACACAGATTTAGTCTACTTTTTGATGCGTATACAAAATTGGAGTTTGACGAAAGTAAAGTTAGATTATTAAAGTCTCGATAAATCTAGCTTAATAGTCACTGCATATCTACAATTCTATATATTAATGTTGCAGTTAAAGGGGAGCCTTGGACCAACATTAAAATTATCTTCGTGTGACCGATAGATCATGGGTTTGAGCCGTAGAAGCAGTTAGTAATGTTTGCACTATAGGTGTTAATCGGGCCGGGCTGACCCGTTTTCAACACGCTTCAACCCGAGTCAACCCGGTTCAGCCCGTTATTGTAGCTTTATGTGCGGGCTGGGACGGGTTGGTCGGGGGGCGGGTTTTGGACGAACATATTTTGGATACCGGTGCACCGTACTCGCTAAGCTCGTTAACGGCCTGCAGCCCGGTTACCGTTAAATTTTATTTTTTAAAAATTATTTGGACCGTTGCCAACAGTCAAAATTTAATTTAAAAAAGAAATACACTAGCCCCACCTGCCTGAACCCGAACGGGTCCAAAATAGCCCGAAAATTCCTAACCCGCTACCAGCCCGTTTACCCAGCCCGCTAACCAACCCGGTCGGATAACGGACGGGCTGGGTTTTTTTTGTTCAACCCGTCCCAGCCCGCCCGATAAACACCTCTAGTTTGCATTAGGATATATATGTTGTCTACATCACGTCCCTTAAGATGCGGTCCTCTTCCCCAAACGTTACGTGAACATACACCGGATGCCTTGTGCACTGCGCTAGCCTTAATATTACAGTTGTACCGCCAATTCAATTGCGTGTGCATGTGGAATTGACCTTTCTCTTCTTCTTCTCCTCCATATATTGTGTACGTGTGAAGTTGGAGTATATTAAAGGCATTCTGGTTCAAAAATTAAATGGTTGAAAAGAGTATGCACCTAAATTTTGCCAAAAATGAAGCTGATTCATCAGCTCATATTAACTATGGCATTTACTCTACCTCTTTTCAAATTTTTTATATCGTTGAATATTAGATGCATGAATCTTTTTTCAAGTCAATAATTTGTGTTACATATGCGCGTCGTCTGGGGAAAACTATGAACATATATATAAGATCTTGAACTAGAACTACGCCATGCACCGGGGGTGGATAATCGTCCGAGTCAGATGTGGAGCCACGATTTGAAGTTTATGGATTCGGGATTCTAATTTTTTTTAAGTTACTATAGTTCTAAATTAAATTTGTACATATCCAATGAATTTTTTAAGACAAATATATATTATTTGGACTAAATATACTGGGTTTAGCGCAACCTGTAGCTTTTTACTCTCCGTCCACCCCTGGTTAGAGTAGAGTATGGGTTACGTACGTGTTCGGACGAATTCAAATTTTGATCTGAATTCTATATTTATTTTAAGAAATTCTTTTTTCAATACAAACTATTAATTTAAATTTCAAATTTTCAATAACTCAAAAGAACCAAAAATCCAAACACGTAAGCTTCAAATTTAAAGTAGTAAATGACTGAAAAGGCTCTTTACCAAAGTCGTAAGTTAATTTCGTCGAATGCTGCATATATAAATCTAGGATATATCTTAATCTTATGTATGGTTCATTCAAGTTGGGCATTTAATGTCTTCATTCATTTGGATACCTAACTGGCTAACTCATTAAACAAAAACTTTTATTGGCCTGACCTATATTTAATGTATTATTTACGTAGTAGCTGACCCACTCTCCTTTCGCTTTGACTCTCCTTATATATATTCAGAACAAATGCCTTCCATGTATATTGATACTGCAGACAATGGGTGCAATTGACCTATTCCTTTAATAAGTAGTTTAAAATAGAGCATATTTACTCTGATTTTACTGACTTTGAATTCTGAATCTATCTGTGTTGGATATATATAAATATTAGGATTGTCAAACGGGCGGGTTGGGCTGATTTTGGGTGGACCAAAATAGGCCGAGTTAATAAATGGACGGGTCAATTAACCCGCCTAAAAGTAACTTGGGCTGAGATGCGCTGAGTCAGGATGGATAAAATTGAGTCTATAGCCCAATTCTCCCAACTCTTACCAAGCTTTAATTAATATATGTTATTTTCTTATGAATTGTTTAATTATCAAATATGAATTTTTTTGTTGTGGTCATATATAATATATCAAACAAAAAAATATCTTAAAAGATATTTTAGCAAAGTTACTCATAAATTAATTTGGGCTAAAATCAGCCAAACTTTATAGGGGCAAAGTGCACTGATAGCCATTCTCAGGATGCTATTTAGTGATTAGCCAATGCTTATTTTGTCCTGAAATTTTAAACTAAAAATCTTAACTTCAGGACAACTCAGGATATTTTTATCCTGAAAAATTGAACTAAAAAACTGAAATTCAGAATGTACTGGGCTTATTCATAAATAGCAGCCCTTCAGAATGGCTACTTGGTGTCATTTCTACAACTTTAGATGGGCTGAGATGAGTTAGGTTAAGATGGGCTGAATTCAATATAACCGGCCCAACCTTGAGTGGATTGAGCAGGTCAATCAAATTGGTAAAAATTGCACGGGGCGTCCTATTTGGTCGCCCCCATTTAACCTATATCGATTTTTTTTTAAAGTTTTAACTTGTGCCCACGGTTCAAATAACTTCGGGCCTCTTTCTCCTCCTTCGTTTTCTGAATGCTGAAGCTTGAGATATT